GGGGGGGGGGGGGGGGGGGTTAGGATATTGGGATATTTTCTGGAAAAGCACAACGTGGAGTCTGCTTATTTACAAGTTTGACTGAATTTTTGTTCAATAAATTTTTACCAATCTATGGCACAAAGTTGTGAACGAGGAGGCTCGCTGAGAAATATCTTGTGCATAACGTTCAACAGTCAGGAATAGTTCTTTAAAAAAGTATGTGGAATGTAATTGTATGACAGTCATGAAAGCATTTTTAACGAAATTAGCAGACTATTTAAATCTTACTGATTAAGCTTACCGTATGTGTTATTAAGCTTAAATAAAGCAAGTAGTTAATATATTCTGCATCTACTCAATACTCACCGAAAACATGGTGTGAAAGCTATTTTCAAACCAACAAAGAAACAAAAAAGCAGCAAACCACAGTGAGTGAAACGGCCAAAAAAAGCTTACAAACAGTTTACGTGTAATGTTCACAGTAACGAATGTAATCATGATAAAGCATTGTAAAATGAAATCACTGCAAGCTTACAATAAAACCACGAAGTTGACGATTCCCCAAAAGACATCGGAGAATATGGACAATCTCCATATCGATCTGTTGTCTAAGACGTTACCTGTTGAATAAAACGAAGATATGTAAGCAGAAGCTTAATAAATGAAGCAACTTTCCATTTCCAAATTTTAACTTACTTCCAGATACGTACACCATTTTGATGATTCAGTGTTTTGATTGCGCAAGGGATTGGAACTAGCCTCTTTTTCATGTTCCTGCGCGGGGAACTAAAACCCAAGATATCAAATTACTATAGCAACACGGGAGTTTGTAGATAAAATGGCGGCGATTTTGTAGTAGAAATCTCACATTACCTTTGTGTGACTAAGGGTATTAATTTGGCTCCAAAACAAGTTAGATTGTCGCCGAAATATGGGAAAGAAGAAAGCAAAAGAACCAGAGACTCCTGCGAAAGATGAGGTTGGTATTTCTATGCAAACTGTACACCTTTTTTCGCAAAGAGACTTTCTCGCTGGGTGTTCTTGACTTCTGTAGTTTTATATCGCTCAATTTAAAATGACTGATAGTTATGCTTTTAGACCAATCCGTTTTAATACCCTGATACTGGAGTAAATAATGACACACTGCTGTTGTTGACAAGTGCAATAATAAGGTCATTAACGATTTGTATGACCATAAGCTTATGTATGTACTTACAGTTCGACCCCCTGGATATTGTTAGCAAGAAGCCCCATACAGTTGTTCTTATGTTAGACTCTCCAGAAGAACATGTTCTTCAGTCAGCTTGTGAAGCATTGTACAAGTTTGCAGAAAAATGTAAGTTAGATAGTCTTTCCCTCATTGTTGCTCTTTTATTTATAAGATTTATATTTATTCTTAAGTTTAGTAGAAATGTTTGTGGAATGTCTTAAACTTCTGTGACGTATCAGATGCAAGAACCAACAAGAAATTCACACTGCCTGAACACAGTGCTTAGTTAAGGTGGTGTTCTCATAAGAAAACGTGCAACAACACAAGTTTCATGCTGGGTGACTTTTTGATTTTGTATTGCATTAAACGTGTTTACATACTTTGTCCTCATCACATGACCAGTGCCCAGTTGTTTGAAGGCTGATTAGTGCTAACCCAGGGTTAAATATTAACCTGGGTTTCTTTTTCTTTTGTTCAAAAGCATTTTGTCAGATAATTTTCTCTATTCTTTTTAGAGCATCCGATCATCAAATTATAGCCAAAAAGAATAAAACTGAATTTCCTTTTTAAGCTTTCATATCTGAATTCAATTTCGCACTAACCCTGGGTTATCTTAACCCTGCTATGAACAACCCGGCCCAGTGTGATAACACCATCTTAGATTGATGAAAATAGCGCTTGCACTACCCACTCCCGTCCACTGAGGGGCCTGTGGAAGCATGTTTGTCAGGCATTTCTCGCCCTTCGCTTTCTCCCCTTTTGGCTTCTTTCTTCCCCTTTCTCCCCCAGAAACTCCTGATACTCAGGCTTCAGGCTAGGCGCTATGTTTGTGGCTGCCACTGGGCTTCGTCTATAGAACACTTGGGGAGTTATACACAGTAGGGGGCCAAGGGAGACCATTACATTAGACATAGTAACCCACAATTTTTATAACTTTACTGGGAAATGATTGGCTGTTAAGCCAGATGGTAGCCTGTTCCACTTCCTTCCATAAGAAAAGCAAAATCAAAGAGAGACACAATGAAGAAGGTAGATGTACAATGGCAGATCCAGACCTTCAGATAAGGGGGGGGCCCGGTATCTAAAAAATTTTTTTTCGACCCTTTGGGCCTCATTTTGGTCAAAAAATAAGTTGGGCCGGCCTCCCAGATCCCTCCCCTGGATTCGCTGCTGATGTACACAGGGTAACAAGTCTGCAACTTTGAACATTTCTTATTTGCTACTTAGGTGATGAGAACAGACAGGAGCTTTTGAATCTTGGAGCACTAGAACTTCTGTTAAAACAGGTTTTATCAGAAGACAAAGTTGTCAGAAGGAATGCTACCATGTGTCTTGGAACTATGGCTCAAAATGGTTAGTACAATAGAGCCTTGCACTTCATGATTAT